GTCTAGGTATCTCTAGTTCTTAAACGGAGAAAATACCTTCGATATGAACATTGTCAATTTAGCCACCATTACATAGTAACGTTAACTAACGCTAAGAACAACACTGAGACTCGTCGGTTTGAAGCGGCGATTCAATCGAGAGCAGCTTGAGGACGGAAAAATATAGGATTATCGACGTTCGTCGAGGTCGAGGATGAATCGTCGCTCTGACGCCGTCAGCAGCGTTCGAGCGCGGAGGAAACGTAGCGGAAATCGCGTGGTGGCATGTGTGCGCGTGTATGCGAGCAAACGAGAGTGTGAGAGAGAATGCGAGAAAGAGAGGGAACAAATGAACGTATTAATGTATGAGTGAGGGCGCGCGCGTGTGGAACGAAGAAACGGAGGGCGAGAAAGTTCACATTCCGAACGAAGATAAACAATGTACTATCGGAGACTGGTGCGACTTATTATCTAAGTATACAGTAAGTATATGTATATTACATATATACGCGCGCGCGTACGCGGCCACGTTAGGTACGCGCATGCATGCATATTAGACACGTGCGTGCACACGTGCGTACGCAGAACGCGTATGGAAGATCCGATGAGCGTTCATGCGAGATCTCTATCGGAGATCTCGGAGAGATAAGGGCGGGAAGAAACGGGAATAACGCAACGCGGAACGCTCACAACGAAAGCGGCTCGGATTTCACGGTAGCTGTATCTCCATTTCAGCATCCGCATTTGTTTGAATTACGGTCAAGTACGAGTCGGCTCTCTTTTCATTTCAGTAGGGGTTTTTTACGATTTTTCACGGCGCGACTTTTTGTATTTCTGTATGTATGACTCGCGTCGCCGCTATGGTGAAATCGCTCGTTGTAACTCTCGTTACTCGTCCCGAGGCGTCTCTGTACGCGTGTGTACGTGCGTGTGCACATGGCTCAATCGGGAGTACTCTTAGCTCGTATCACGTAGTCGCGACTGTTTACGTAGGGAAACTCCCGGGACGTATGACGATTATAGATCGGACGTAAAAAAACACTCCAATCGGGTCGAAGACAGGAATCGGAGACGAACAGTGGACCAAGGCAGAACGCAACTCGGTTGATACCTACTTTCACTCGAAGGAAATTCTCGCTAAAGAATAATTGGCATGTAATCGATGCAAAAAATATTTGTCAGAAATATGGGCGTGTCCTATTAAATTATATGTTAAAAAAACAATGGCGGAGAGGAACAGATGTGATAAAAATAAATATTAAAACGTTTTCATTGAGAAGGCTGTTTGAACATTTTAAATTACATACTTTGTAACTGTGTAACGGTAGCGAACTATCGCAATTGGATTTTATCGATTTCAGTCGCGAGTAATCCTATCAACATTCTTTATCTTTATTTGTGCAAAATAAGAAAGAAGTAGAGGGATAATCGTGTTTATTTGCATGAGTTGCTTTAATTCCGAGCGTACAATGATCTTCTTGTTTCACCGTATTTGGTTGCCTAATGTTTTGTCAATTTAATTAACGTTAATTTCACGGTGTTCTACTTCTCTCGGATGTTGCGCACTCGCTGCTAGCGCTTTCTGAAATCCCGTTCGTTATTACGGACCATCGATCACTTACACAAGAAGTTTCTGAACCTACACTTGGAAACTTTCTTCTTTGCGTCTTTCATACATAGACTGCCTAGTTGAGCACTTTCTTTTAAATGCAGCCAATTCTTCCTTGGCAAAGATTGGATGCTATCTTGTGCTTTCGTAGATTTTCACGATTATACATCTCGATAATTAAACTCCAGCGCGAAACTTTATTAGATTCGATTCAAGATTAACTGCGAAAAAAAAAAGTTTTTATTGCTTATATTTATTCTGAAAATTTAATTCTTCAAAACTCGCCGGACTTCAAATGTTCGCTGCATAAAAACGTTTGAGCAACATTCTTTTTACTTGGACTTTCAGTGTTTATGATCTGGGAGAA